TTTCTATTTTTAGAAGAGATGGGGTCTCATTCTTGCTCAGGCTGGTCTTGAACTCCTGAACTCAAGTGATCCACTCCCAGAGTGCTCGGATTACTGGCAAGAGCCAGGGCACCTGGCCTGTTGTACTTATTCTTTATAGTTATCCCATACCCATCATTCTGAAACTTCTTCCCTGAGGTCTGGGCTTGGCTTCTGTTAAGAAGAATTATCCCAATCCTTCCTTCATATATCAGATTTTCAAGTATCTGAAACATTTATGATGTCCCAGTTTCCCTTGTTGGGGACCCCTGGCCCCTGCCATTTCTTAGTCCCCAGGGTAAGTCAGTCCATGCCCAGGTATTAGTTTAGAGACATCCATTTTCTCCCACCTTTTCTCCCACGCAGGTGAAATTGCCCCCTTTTCCCTTTTAGGGAGTTTATATCACACTGTTAACACTTTATGGCTCCTTATCCAGATCCAGAATTCACTCAATCCACCCCCTTGTCCTGGTTAAGGGGAGCAAGCCTCAGGAGAAGTCCTGACCTAATCTAAGACAAGTTTTCTGGAGGAGACAGAATTGGGAGTACAAGAAAAAGGAGTTTAATAGATTATATATATATTTTTTTATTTTTTTTTGAGACAGAGCCTCAAGCTATCCCCCTGGGTAGAGTGCCATGGCATTACAGCTCACAGCAACCTCCAACTCCTGGGCTCAAGCGAGTCTCCTGCCTCCGCCTCCCAAGTAGCTGGGACCACAGGCGCCCGCCACAACGCCTGGCTATTTTTTGGTTGCAGCCATCATTGTTGTTTGGCGGGTCCGGGCTGGGGATTCGAACCCGCCACCTTAGGTGTACGTGGCTGGCGCCTTAGCCGGTTGAGCTATAGGCGCCAAGCCAATAGATTATATTATTATTCAAACTATTTGCTGTCCTGTTTTGGGTTTCTCCCTGGGTCCTTGCTTTGCCCTGCAGAAGCATTATGGGCTCCCCAGCCTGATGATTTCATAAATAGCCCCATGACTGGTTTTGGCCAAAGGGTTGTGAGAGCGTCTGTCTCAGAACTGAAACCCTGAGTGGGTCCGCTTGAGGAGGCAGAGTTTGCCGTATCTCTTTTCCCTCGGCCACAACACCAGCAATCTTCCAGGAGGAGCCTGAAGGAAAGACTGTATCCCGCCCCTGATGGATATTTAACATGAGCAGAAGACAGCTTTTGTTTAAGACATTGAAACATTGAGGGCATTTTGTTACTGTAGCATAAAGCTGCTCCTAATTGATTCAGATCCCAACATACAAGGGCAAAGAGTGATCTCCTCTTCTTCAGGACACTGAGGTGGCAGTGGGAGGGGGAAACTTTAGGGGTGGGAAGAGCAATCCCAGCATTAGAGTAAAGGGACAGTGCGAGGGAGAAGCATAGCCCAGGGCTCAGCAGCAGAGGACCTGAAATCTGCGTCCCTCTCACATAACAGAGCCCCTCCCTGCTATCTCTGCTTCCACATCCCTCAGCTAGGACAGTAACGGTGGGTCCTAACTGTACTTTGTGTAGTTTTCCATGAATGTGCATGTAGTTTACATAGGAGAGGAAAGGGAGAAGACATGAATCTGTTGGTATGGGAGAGAATATAAGAAACCAACTTTAACTGAGACGCTGAATGTTGCTTTATAGTTTACAAACCACTTTCACAGAGTGCCAGCCAATAAGAAGGCTTCTCCTTAGAATTCCTTGCCTGTTTCTATGCCTATGCTAATTTGTCTACTTGGCTATCCCCGTTTTCTTCCCCCCTTCCTACCAGATAATGAGAAGTACTTCCTTTAAGATTTGGCTTAATACACATCTCAGTTCATTTACTATTTATTGAGATCGATCTTGTGCAAAGTATTGTCATAAAAAGAGCGGAGGATACAATATGGTCAGGTGTGGTCCCTGCATTCAAGACCCTTAGAGCCTAATGTGAGGAGGAAAAAGAAAAAGGAATATCAGTACACATATAATACATGGGATGGTAAGGGAAGAGGTACAAAGGAATGCCTGGGAAGTTCAAAGTTCTTTGTTATTTGTAAGTGATGGAAGTTCCTCTCTGTCAGGAGAGACACACAGACATAAGACAGGTGTCTTCTTTCCTTTGAAAAGCATGAAGCACGGTGCAAGGTTTCTCAAAATGTGGGCCCTACACCACTTATTAGATAGGCTAAGTCTCTGACCCCTGAATTAACATCCCATGATAGCCCCTTGATCTCAATACACGCTAAAGTTCAAGAGGCCACTGGCATCAAAAGCAAGTGGTTTGACTGTAGAATGAGGCTTTCATTGAACACTAGCCCTGATCTAGAAAGTTTTCAGCATCTCTTCCTCCTGGAGCCTCATTTTGCTCACCTGTGAAATAGGTTTAATTTCCAAACCTCTTTTACAAGGTTGATCTGAGGCTCCAAGAAGATCACAGAAGTAAAGTGCTTGGCACGTTTCCTGGAACAAAATAAGTTTTAAAATGTCTTTATTATCATTCAAAGGAGTAGGGGAGACCATATCTGATTGCAGGATTAGAAATTCACAAAGCTCTGGCCAAGGGTAGGATTCTCCTCAGGAATGTGATTCAGTTCAGGCAACATGAGTTGAGCTTTTAACTTGTGCCAAGTGTATGGAAGCCAGCGAGGTGGACCTGGGCTGGGAGTGGGGAGGAAGGGCGGGACAAGTTACTGTCTGGTTGGTCTGAGGTCTCAGTGGGATTGCTAAGCATTGCCTAGCTAGTGGATGGAAAGGTGGGCCTAGAGTAAGTTTAGAATGAGATTTGAGAGTTAGTCTTATGATGAGAGATGAAATAGGGGCATGGATGAGAAGAAAGATGGATCTCTGAAGTGGGGCATGGGAACCAGGAAGAGGAAGCAGGGCTAGAAAAGGGCATTGAGAAGGTGTGGTTGGAGAGGTTGGGAAAACAAGAGGAGAGAAATGATAGGTACCGTGAGAGGAGATGGCTTAATGCAGTGTGGAGAATCAATTACTACCCCATGCTTCACACGGCTGGGGTGATTTCAAGGGGGTGGGGCTGAATGGGCGCCATGGAGGAAGGAATGAAAGCAGCAACTCTTACCTTTGGCTGCCTTTAGAACCACCTGGGAGTTCTTCAAAAATCCCTTAGTCCGGGGCAGGGCCCCTGACAAGTTAAATCAGAATTTCTGGGAGTCAGAGGCAGGCATCTACTTTTTTCAAAAGTGATTCTGAGGTGCAGAAAATGTTGACAGCCAATCAATAATGGTTCTCACCTAGGGAATGGGTGTAGGGGGAGGCAGCTGAGTAAGTGAAGCTACCATTTCAAGAAGTTTAGCAGAAAAGAACAAAAAAAAGCTGGGAGCCAGTAGAAAGATGGGTACAGACCACTGATGAAGCATGGTAGTGGAGGAGGCAAGGTGGCATTCTTATTCAGAGAGGGGAGAATCACCCTGAGAAGCAGCAGAGACCCCGAGTACTGGCCCCACCCCTGGAGTTTCTGATTCAGTAGGTCTGCAGGGAAGCCCAATAACGTGTGTTTCTAACAAGTAACCAGGTGATGCTGATGGCCAGTGGGGATGGAGAGAGAGCATACTTTGAGAGCTGCTGAAATCCAAGGAAGGGAACTATGCAGAAAGATTGAGAGAGAAAACATTTGAACCATTTCCTTTCTGCTCTTGCTATGAAAGTTTCCAACTTAGATCCAATGAGAATTGTCAACCTTTGGTCACTGCATTTATCATCTTGTAAGT